TTTTTTGCTGAAGATATTGTTGTAAGTTGTAACAACTCCTATACAAAGTCTTTGTACAACACAATAAGATGTATCCATTCTTTTAAGATAGAGGTCAAAATAAGTAATAAAACCATTTTTTTTCTTACTTCACTACTATAAACTATGATACATTGGCATGGGTTTCATATCTTAGGACAAGAACATACTACAACCATAATATTAAGTCTGCAAATGTCACTGATGAGAGATCAGCTGTTAGCTATAGATGTAATAATAATTTATTAAAAAAAAGTACAGCTGCAATAGTTGATTAAACAAAAAAAAAAGGCTCCTGCCATAACATAGACGGTAACATATATATAGTATATTTTCTATATCTTTTCTTAATATTTTTTGTATATACAGAGAGAAGTGGGTATTAGTCTTGATTATTATAAAAAAAAGTGGATTTTCAACTTCAAAAGCACCATTATTTAATGAATATTTTAAAAAATTAATTATTAAATTTAGTTTTTTATTCATGTAAATCATGTATGCTAGTTTTCAAATTAATTAATAAAACATTAAATTTAATAGTTAGTTTTTAAAACATTTATTAAAGAGTGGTACATTTTTTTCAAGTTAAACTCTAAAACGTAAATGTGTAATGGAGTGTGTAACTGTGTATGATAAATGTATTATTGTCCTAAAAACTATCATTCCTTTCTTTTATTTCTTAACCATCGACATATAAAAGTGAAAATTTTCAATTTTAATGGCATAAATAACAGAAACTGTCAGTTTTAATAATATAATAAATATAAATTGTTAACTTTAATTACATAAGTAACGAAAACTGTTAATATATAACAAAATGTGTAACTTTGCATAGTGTACCAATCATTTTCCTTCTACTACTTTGAACTTTATTTAATTTCAATAAAACTTTGGAGTCTAATACACTACTTTTACCTGTTTTTGCAAATATAGTATTGGGGCTGTGGGGAAGGGGAGGGAATTTTTCAAAGTTCTTTGGGGGAGTTAAACCCCCAAACCCAACGAGCCCCGAGCTCTGTGACTTGGGGGCGAACCATCAAGCCACAATGGCTAGTTTTAGTGAAGATGTAGCGAGAAAAAGATATATTTATCCCTTTATTTT